CCCGGGGCAGTGTGGCTGTGTGTGGGGCTGCCCCCGGTCCCGCTGGCACCCTGCCCTGCCCCTGCACGTACCGTCCCGGGGAAGGGTGGCTGTGTGTGGGGCTGCCCCTGGTCCCGCTGGCACCCTGCCCTGCTCCTGCACGTACCGTCCCGGGGAAGGGTGGCTGTGTGCGGGGCTGCCCCTGGTCCTGCTGGTGCCCTGCCCTTTTGCGCTCTCTGGGCAGGGCTCTCTGGCCTCCGCCAGCCCCTGCACCTGCCCACGGGTCCCTGGAATCAGCCTGAGCCGGCCCCTGGAGACGCGGCGTGGGGGCCTTGCTGGTTTCACTTCCTCCCGGAGTTCCTTCCCCCATGTCCGAGCCACACGGGGATGTGGTATTGGGCTGACCTGAGGCGGGACAACCAGAACCCCTCGGCTGGCCACGGGCCCGGAATAGCCCAACACCGGCGGCTCAGGCCGGCCCTGCCCCCTTTCCCCTGCCTGGGGTGAGGAGCCGGCGGGGCCGGGCCACCCCGGGGATCCCTAGGGCCGGTCTCCCCTCCCCTCTAGGCACCCATGAGGGCGCCAGCTGCGACTGGCACTCGGCCGTCCTCGCTGCCCCAGTGGGCCTGGCAGGTGCTGGTTCTGGCCCATGTGTGGGTGTGGGGGTTGATGCTGGGGCCCGGGGGGTGTCGGGGAGGCCAGGCCCTTCCCCTTCTGGCCCAGAGCTGCCCAGCTGGGTCCCTCCAGCCCAGCCCACCCTCCCTGAGAGCCTGGGGTACGTGCCCCCAGCCCGAGGCCCAGTTGGCGGGGCCCTGCCCTGCGCAGACCTGTTGCCAGCGCTGTGGGGCGGGAGGGGGGGGAGCGCGCTCATCCCCACTGACAGCCTTCCTCTCTCCCGCCAGGAGCGACGGGGAAGCCCTGGAGATGTAAGTACCTGCCCCAGCTCCCTCCACAGGGCCTGGGGGTGAGGGCGGCGCTGCCAGCAGCAGAGGGTCTGGGGAGGCGAGGGGCTGTGAGCGGGGGGGCGAGGGGCTGAGCAGCGGGGGGCTCGAGGGGGTGAGAGCGGGGAGGCTGGCGAATATCCCAGAGGGGCGCCCTGGGGTGTGGAGGGGCCGACTGGCAGGGGTGTTGGAGCCCCTTGCAACGGGAAGCAGGGGGCTTGTGGGGGTGGTGGGCTGGGCCCAGCGTGTGGGGGGCAGGGGGCCACCGAGCCCTGTGCACCTGAGGGCCCCAGGCGCCCCCGAGGCTCATGGGCACCGTTCACCGAGGAGGCTGCAGCGAGGGGCATGGCTGCAGGTGGAGGCTTCCCTGGCCACGTCTGTGCTGCATGGGCACCGTCCCAGCTCCCGTGCGGCAGGGCCCAGCACGCCAGGGGTGGGCGGAGAGGCCGTGCTCTGCTTGGCCCTGGTGAGGAATCTCGGGTGACGTCCCCGGGCATTGCAGCCTGTGGTGCCTGTCTCAGCCTTCGCCCGGGCCCAGCATTGGGGACATCCTGCCTTGGCCCCTCTGCTTTGGGGGGGGTGCTTTTCCCCGGGCGCTGGGATGTGCTGGGATGAGCCGGGTGCCGGGGTTATCTGGGCGCTGGGACGGACCCGGGCGCTGGGATGTGCCGGGTGCCGGGGTTATCTGGGCGCTGGGACGGACCCGGGCGCTGGGATGTGCCGGGTGCCGGGGTTATCTGGGTGCTGGGACAGACCCGGGCGCCGGGATGTGCCGAGATGAGTCGGGTGCTGGGGTTATCTGGGCGCTGGGACAGACCCGGGCGCCGGGATTATCTGGGTGCTGGGACGGACCCGGGCGCTGGGATGAGCCGGGTGCCGGGGTTATCTGGGTGCTGGGACGGACCCGGGCGCTGGGATGTGCCGAGATGAGTCGGGTGCTGGGGTTACCTGGCCGCTGGGACGGACCCGGGCGCTGGGATGTGCCGAGATGAGTCGGGTGCCGGGGTTACCTGGCCGCTGGGACGGACCCGGGCGCTGGGATGTGCCGAGATGAGTCGGGTGCTGGGGTTACCTGGCCGCTGGGGTGACCCGCCCCCTCTGCTTGGTTTTGCAGGTCTCCGTCTGCGATGCTGTTTAAAATCCCCCGGGTGGAGACGAGGAAGTAGCAGGCGCCCCACCTGCACCCAAACTGGCCCCGGCCTCGAGCCCCCGCGGGGGGGCTGCTGCTGAAGGGATCACGGGGCGGCCACCCACTGATCTGATTAGACACCTGGACTCCATGGGCCGAAGCAGCCAATCTGCCGTGCTGGCTCCACCAAGCCCCGCCTTCCCCCTCATTTGTTCAGCCAATCACAAGACTCCCCTGGGTGGGAGTCATCCTGCTTCCCGCCCCCACGGCTATGTCGTGGTACATAGACCCTGCACTGCACCGCAAATCCAGAGCCGATCGGCTGGGAGAGAAGGGGGGGAAGAACCCAGTAGCCCCTCCCCCTACAATCACCATGGGGGTGTGCTGGGGCATGGGAATCCCGCTATAGGGGCACGCCTCGTTGTGATGGAGCAGCTGGGCACTGTCCGGCCCCACAGCACCGAGGGGCTGGGCGCAGGGGGTGGAGGGGACGGGGTACCCAAGCTCGAAGCAGTGAGGGGGTGGTGTCAATACACCCCCATGCCAGAGGGGCCCTGCGTGTGCAGCCGTGTACGCCCAGGCTCGTGCGATGAGCCATTTCAGCCGCCCCACCCTTCACCCACCGTGTCACAGCCCTGGCCGGGAGGGGTCCTGTGTGGGGTGGGCGCCTGTCTGTGTCCCCAGGCGCCCGTGTCCCAGACAAGCAGGCCTCAGCGCCCCCTCTCCCTCCCCGTCCTGCCCCCAGAGCACAGTGGGTGCCAGCTCAAAGTGGGGCCACTGGAGGCAAGTGCAGAACGTCCCGGCAGCCGTCGCTGGGCCTGACATTAGCAGCCCCCGCTGTGCTCGGGGGGGCCCTGCTCTGCGGCTGGGGAGCAGAGCTCGCCCCGGGCCGGGTGCCCTGCGATGAGGGGATGGCCCTGCGCCCTCCTGCCTGCCCCTGGCTCTGTGCCATGCCCTGGTCGGCGTGGGGGCCACGCTGCACAGACGATGAGTATTTATTTTTGTACGAAGGGGAGTCGCTGGCGGCGCTGGCTGACACAGTGACGTGCTGTTGAACCAATAAAGTGTGTGTGCTGCAGACGGGCGCCGGGTGCTTCCCAATGGCCGAACAGAGAGAGCCTGGCAACGGGGGGCCCTGGAGCAGCGGGGGGGATGGGGGAGGGGTCTGGTGGGGGGGAAGCCCTTGAGCCCCCCCTTACGTTACAGGGGACACCCCAGCCCGTGCTGCTGAGCCCATCTACCCCAGCCCCCCTCACGGGCAGGGCCGCGGCCCTCGGTGCTGGGGCTCGGCGGGGGTGGGCAGCACAACGCATGCTGGAACGAGGCAGCTGGTGGGCCTGGCGCCGCGGCCGTGACCCCCACAGCGCGGGGAGCGGAGCTGCTGCCCCGGGGCCGTGAGCACCTGCAGCCTGGATGCCCAGGGGGGCTCAGGGCCCGGCGGGGCGGCTCGTGACAGCAGCCCAGGAACGCTCGCCTGGGGGCTGGATGGGAAACCCCAGGAAGGGGCCTGAATTCCCTCCCCTGCACGTGGCAGTATGACGGGGCAGCGGGCTCGGCTGAGGGGCAGGCCTGGCCAAAGTGAAGCCAGCCGGCCCCGTCTGGGCTGCAGGGGATGCTGTGTCCAGGGGTCACCCCCGGTTTCAGAACCACGGGATGGGGGTGAGGAATCTGTGCAGCCCAGCAGCCACCGCCCCACGTGGGCTCATGGGACCGTCCGGGACCAACCTGGCGGGTGACAAGCCCCACGCGTGTTCCCCGGCCGGGGCTGGTAGCGAGGAAGCTGCTGCTGGACTCTGGCTCCGGAGGGCACCCAAAGGCCATGCCCACAGCCAGGCTGAGGCCTGCGGGTGGCTCAGTTCCAGTTTGTAGTGTAGACACGGCTGCCCTGGGTCAGTGGCAGGGCGAGGCCTGGCCCAGAGCGTTGGAAGCAGGGTCCCTGGAGGGGGGGGGGGCACAGCTCGGGGCCAGCCCTTGCTGGGGCAATGGAGACACTGGTGTCTACCAACAACAGGCAGCCGCTGCCTTGCCTTGCTTGGGAAGCTGGTGCCTGGCTGCCTCCTGCCGGGGGGGCTGGGTCCCTTCTTTGGAGTGGCTCCCCCAGCCGCTTTCCCGCTCCCAGGCAGAGCTGGGCCGTGGCGCCGGGCGCAGAGGGTTGTGCCTGCGTTTAGCAGCGGTAACGCCGCCGTGGCCCCAAGCCAAGCGAGCGTTGGGACTCCCCCCCCCCCCCGGGGGGGGGGGGGGCCCCGGGGGGGGGGGGGGGGGGCCCCGGGGGGGGGGGGGGGTGGCAGATTCCGCTTTTGTTGGGGGAGGGTCCCACCGCAGTGGAGGAGGGACAAGCAGCTTGAAAAAGAGGAAAATGTGGTCGTGAAACCACAGCAACCGGCGGGCCCCAGAGCTGCCCTTCGCTTGCGCTCTGCCGGCCTCCAGTTCACGGGGCCTGGCCCGGGTCTGGCCCCGGGTGACTGACGCAGCAGGGGCTGACCGAGCAGGACCTGGCTGGGAGGACCCCCACTGCTGGAGTCATGGCTTGTTCTAGCCCGAGCTGTGGGGCCCACGTGTCCGAAGGCCCCGGCAACATTCCTCCCTCTCCGTAACCGCCGAGCGTGGCTCAGAAACAGCCCCTGGGAGGGCCAGGCGAAGGGCTGTGGCTGGGATGGGCGAGGCCTTAGTCCCAGTGGGGGGCAGGGCCAGTCGGTCTCTCTGGCACCCGTCCGTGCACCAGGGACCCCAAGCAAGTGGCTCTGGCTTCAGCAGGCCCAGGAGCAGCGTCTGGCCCATTGGACTCTCCCCCTGCAGGCAGGAATTCCCCAGCCCCACAGAGCCAAGGGGGCAGCCACCCTGGCTTGGAGGGGCCGGGCGAGGGGGCCCTTGGGGGATTCTCACTAATAGTGCCCAGCCCCAAAGCCGCCTTAGGGACAGCCCTGCCCAGCTTCGGGAGCTTCAGCCCCCCTGCTGAGCCTCCCCGGCCTGACGTGGGGGGCAGAGTGCTGCCCCCAGCCCCTGGGACGTGGAAACCCTATTGCAGCCCCTGGCAGCCTGCACGGGCCTCTCCCTGGCTGGGCTCTGGCGTGGTGGGATTGGCCAGGGTGCTGTGGGCCGGCCCAGCTCCGCCAGCGTTAGGGCGCGGGAGGCCAAAGCTGTAAGAGAAGGAGGCCCTTGGGGGCAGGTGCCAGGGAGAACTGGGTCCGCTGGGCTTTGGGCTGATAAGCTCCCTCCCTGCACCCGGCCTCCCTTCCTGCGCTGGGCATGACCCAGTAAGGGGCAGTGGGGAGAGGACCACGTCTCTGGGGTGTGGATCCCAGTGGCCGCCAGCCCCCCACCCCGCCACGCTGTTTTCTGCTGCGACCCGTCACTGCCCGGTAACCAGAGGTCGCCCGCCACAGCCAGCCTGCCCAGGGGAAATGCCACAGGCCCAGGCCTCCTCCCTGCCTGGCTCCAGGTAATGTAGACCCAGCAGCAGCAGAGGATGCTGATTAGCTCACAGGCCGCGTTACCCCGACTTCCCTTCCTGGAGTTTCAGCAGCAAACCCAAGCTCCACCTGTGTAGTGTTGGCAGGCCCGTCTCGCTTGCCCCATGCCCCGCTCTCGGCTTGCCTCACCCACCTGGACCCCCCCCACCCCTTCATCTGGCTGCAGTATTCTTCACTTCCTGTCCCAGACTGTTGTGTACCTTGTTAAACAGCTGCCCTGGGCCGCTTCAGAGGGGGCTGCATGTCAGCAATGGGCCAAGCAACGTGGGAGCCTTGGGATCAGAGAACTGCGTGAAGGACGTTGGTCTGTCTCCCTGCTGAGGGCGGGCGGAGAGCAAGGGCCCTTGGGCACAGCTCCAGCTAACCCCAGGCGGCTCCTCATGCGACTGCAGCTTGGGTTCGGTCCCAGAACCAGAGGGTGTCACAGGCGGTGCGGGAAGGAAGGTGGACACCAGCCAACAAGCAGGTTAAAGAACAGGGAGCAATGGTCTCAAGTTGCAGTGGGGGAGGTCTAGGGTGGATATTAGGAAACACTAGTTCACTAGGAGGGTGGTGAAGCGCTGGAATGCGTTACCTAGGGAGGTGGTGGAGTCTCCTTCCTTGGAGGTTTTTAAGGCCCGGCTTGACAAAGCCCTGGCTGGGATGATTTAGTTGGGGATTGGTCCTGCTTTGAGCAGGGGGTGACACTAGATAACTCCTGAGGTCCCTTCCAACCCTAATATTCTATGAAAGTCCCAACAGCTCTGCCCCAACTGAAGCCAGGCCAGTCTACGCCACCTGCACCCCCGTCCCCGCTGGCCCAGCCCACAACTGGGGCCAGAAGGCAATGCAGAGCTCTAGCTATTCACCCCTCCCCTCATGGGGGTGTTCTGGGCCCCCCCAAATCCAGATGGGCGAAGCTGTGCCCTACTATAGCTACAGCCCTGCAGGCCGGGAGCCTGGCCAGCTCAGATTGGCAGGGAATGGGGGTGGGGGTTGTTACCTTCCTATGCAGCCTGGAGCCCAGGTCACCAGTGAGCATCAACTGGGCATCCCATCGCCCAGTGCCCAGGGCAGGGGCCTCAGCTCCCCACGGTCTCTGCCGCCGACCCAGCAGTTTCCTGAGGACTGAAATGCTGGTGTGGGCTCAGGACAGGGGCATCTGGGTAAATGCGACAGCCCGTGCTAAACAGGGGGTCGGACCAGAGGAGCCGATGGTCCCTGCTGGCCTAAAGCTCTACAGGCCGGGGGCTGTGTTTCCGCTGAAACCCTAAACTGGGGCCAGCCCATCACCACTCCCTGGCGTGCACCCAAAGGCATTGCCTGACCGGCCTACTCAGGCCACTCAATTTTGTCCACTTACAATTCCCTCAGCTGTTTCCTTCACTTCCTGTCCTAAACAGCGGCTTAAGACCAGCCTCCCTCCCCCAGCTGCTGCACCCCACGGCCCCTGCAGAGCCCAGCGCGAGAGGGGCAGCCGGCTGCCGTGAGTCCTGGCCCCCGTGCTGAGCTGGGCCGCTGGGCACTGCTGCACAGCCCGTTGGAGCGCTGCGCCCGGCTCCCTGGAACAGAGCGAGGCAGCAGGGGCAGAACGTGCCCCACTTCCCCTCTCTGCCACAGAGCCAGGCAGCTGCCCACACGGCCTGCTGGGCTGCAGCGGGAACAAAGCTGCATTGATAACAAGCCAAGCAGATTGTTAACGGCATCAGCAGTTCCTCTTCCCCAGGCCCAGCGAGGCGTTTGCACACGGGTATGCCGCCCGCTACAGGGACTTTCCACAGCAGCACAGGCAGGAGGGGGCCGGCCGCTCTTCGCTGAAAAGCCCCCAGCCTCCTCCTTAGCCACGGCAGCAGCTGCCAGCCGAGCGAGCCTGCGCCCAAGGGCCCGCAGCCAGGGCAAGACAGGAGATGGACGGTCGCTCGTTAAACACCTTTTAATATTGCATATAGGACAACAGCCACTGGACAGTGGCATGCAACGCCAACAATTGCATGAAGACTCCTCCCTTGTGCAAACAGATCCGCCCAACTCAGCCTCAAACTCTTTTCTCTCGACTGAGAGAGACGTTTGACAGCGGCTGTTTAATGACACTCACTGGAAATCTAGCAGAGGAAGGGCCTGCTGGCCACCACGCAGCTGCAGCTGGTCCCAGGAGCAGCCCCTTCCCCGACCCCCCACCCCTTACCACAACAGCGTCACTCGTCCAGGGAGCAGCTGCATTCGCAGGCCCAGCAGCTGCCCGAGGTAGCAAAGCCCCTTCGTGCTCCAGGGACTGGGGCGTAAGGCACAGGAATAGGGGCAGAAGGGGCTAGGCAGGTACAGCTCCTCTCTGTTTTGGAAGTCACACAGCTGCCAGTCCCCGCACTGCCTCCTCAACCCCAGAGAGCCGTCTACACTACGGCTTGAGCCCTTGGTTTACTGTGGCGCCAGGCCAGCTCACCCATGGGATCAGGTAAGTCAAGGTGAAGGGCTCTGGTGTAGACAATCCCCAAAGCACCCACCTCCCACTCCTGATCTTTAACGCAGACGGGAACAGGGACCAGCAGGCAGAGGGGCTCCGCCCTACAGAGGGGCTCCGCTCTAGACCCCTGCACAGAGGGGGACGGGCAGTCACAAAG